CCTGAGAACTTGGACTTCAGGATAAAACTGGGAAGCATAAGACTTTTGTTCACACAATGAAGGTCCTTCTCAAGACTTTTTCTTGCCACAACCTCTTGTCTTTAGCAGAAATGTGCTGCTTAGGCTGGGTTTGCTGGGTATTTCAGACCTTTCTTTGGGTGCACACTCACTTCCACCCTTAAAGCTGCTAGCTACTTGTCTCAACTTGGGTTATAAACTTGGCCAGGGCTTTTATTTTCCCTGCTACCAGGAAGAAGCAGAACCTGGATGGTTTTATGATGCACCTGTTTTTTTCAGTCGTTTTGATTCTTCTTTCTTCCATCTGTTAGTATCTTCCAAAATATTCTCCAGTGACTCTTTTTCTCCACCTCAAATATTCCTCTGTCTCTACTATCAGCTGCTATGAGTGTGCTGCTCTCTTTTTATGAATATGCCATTCATCCTTCTTCCCCAGGAGGCCCTATAGGATGTTTTTGTTCTCTATGTGTGGTGATCCTTCACGTATTTAGGAAATCTCCCTCAGCTGGGACGTCTGTTCCATGGTGATAGAAGAGGCAAAATGCCCTGGTTTGGGATCACCTCTGCTAATAGCAGAGTCTGCTCCTCTGAAATTAATTTCTGAACCAGAGCAATACTATTGAAGGACTAATGTAAGAGCAGAGTATTGAATTATTAGAGTATTAAATATAAGGTATTAAAATACCTTATAATATGAAAGAAATACATGTTCTTAGGTTATAACTAGAAGCTCATTTTAGCTGTTCTATTAATTAAGGGTTTTCTTTGACTAATGCTGATGAAAACACTGGATTTCATGTGAATAGGACTAGAGCCTTCTGAATTCCCAAGTGCTTTTTACTTATAGTGTAGTATACAGCCCAGTGCTTCACACCAGTGCTTGTTGGGCCCTAGCATGGACCATCAGGCCCTTGCTGTGATCATCACGGTGCTTAGCATGTGTCCAAAAAATCAGCTGTCCCATTGTGGCAACTTCAATAACCCATTGATTTCAGTACATTATGCTCGAAAAGAGATTGATTGATCTGGGGAAGTTGTATGAATTTCCCTTTCAGGAAGAGCTAACACCATGACTAGTGGGCTGGTGTTGTTTGAAAAGTAACCTAAACTGTACGTACATGTCTGTTTGTATAGACAGCCACAAGATGCATTGGCAAATACACAATATGCAGTTACTGTGATTTTTCTTTCATTGACAACTGCAGCTTATGACCAGACTCCAGTGTAAATTTTTGCACACACAGAGGCACACAAACACTAATATACAGACATAGATATAGATATAGATTAGATAGAGATAAAATTTGTATTGTTTTAAAATAATTTGGAATGTTTTGTGTAAAGCATCTTCTCACTGACAGGCCAGTGTATTGAGCTTGGCTAGCGTTTAAGAACCAAGGCTGTCTGTGACAGCAGTTTGAGTAGTCAGTGGTGGGCATCTGTTGAAATGAAGCCAATAAATCTGTGATGACTTTACTTTGTGAAAGAAGGTTACAGAAGTTATTACTTAATTCTTTGCTGAGTATTTCTTACAGTGGGTAGCTGTGGAGTTTAGCGTAGCCATGTAAGCATGAGCATGGGCGACACAAGGAGGGGTCATTTACACTGGCGAGAACAAGTGCACATCTGTATTCAGACGTGAACAGGCATGTTCAGTATATAGCTGACTTGATGTTCTTTTACTGAACAGTGATGAAAAGAGGGACTGAAGGTCATCCCCAGTTTCATATTTTTATGAGTGGCTTCTTGTCTTTATTGTGAGCTGACTCCTGAGCCATTCCTAGTGTGAGCACTGTATTAGGCACTGAGCTCTGCTACATTTAAACCATAAATGTCAACATTTTAAAAGACTTCCTAAGATAATTTTTATGATTTTCCAACTGAAGCAAACGTGCATGACCTATGTATTCTTACTTATATCATTTTTGAGGCATGACATCCTTTTCCCTAAAATTGTCCACAACTGCTTTACAGCATCCCCCAGTCCTCTGTGTTATAATAAGTGTCATCTGGACAGTGCCCAGATCAGGTGGAAGAAATCTTAAGGTCTTGCAACCTCAGACTGGTTAAAACAGTGATGGAGAGTCATGAACAAAAGGTTAAATAGAAGGCTGTAAACTTTCAATGCGATGGGGACAGATGCGCTTTTAGTTATTAGCACCTGAGAAAATAAATATGTGTCAGACTGCTGTTAAAGGTTGCCTACCAGATGAAGAAGCCAGCCAGCTGATAACACAAGGAGGCAACTCTCTGAAAGAAACACAAACCAGAAGCAAATTGATCAGGATAGTGAAAACAGATGCAGACGTAAGGTAGTCACAAGCAGTAGCAGCAACAGACTGCGGAAGTTTCTCTCCCAGTCTGCATAAGGGAAGCTGCGGATGTTATACAAAGTTGTGCTGTTCTCATTTCCCTGCATTTGCTTTATATTCATGTTTATTGCCCATCAAACACATTTACATATCCAGGCATGAAATGGAAATGATTGATGCAAAGTAGGTATTTTTGTTAATTGTTGTTGCTCTGTGCCATGCCTGACTGGGTCTGCTGGAGATGGGTGAGGAAAGACAGAATTATTATTAGAGGTACAAATAATTGTCAAGAGCAACTTTTAAACCCATCTGCTGCCACATATGAACATCAAAAGCTATCCGAAGAGGGGAGGGGCAGCATTACGAGGGTGAAGCCAACACCATATCTCTGTCAATGTAGATGTTGCCAACTGCTTCTGAATCTTTGTCCATCATTTTTTTTCATTCCTGCTCCCTGGGAGCTTCAATCATTTTCTGTCACATTGCTACCAGTGCCCGCTGTGTGTTGCAACAACAGTGTCTTATGCTGAAAGCTAATGGGCGTTTGAGAGTTGGGCTGCTTTATCTGCACAACACTAGTGAAATGCATCCGCTTTTTGTCCCACTTTTTGCCAGTTGGAAAGCAATTCTTGACATGCTTTCATACATGCAAAGCAGAGCCAAGATGAGCATCCAGTTTAAGAAAGGAAAGCTGTGCTTGAAGTGCTTAAAGATAGTACTTTTCATAGTGGAACTACACTGCAGAGGACACAAGAGGGTTTCTGATGCTTCCTGTTCTGCAGGAGTACAAGAGGGATTTTTGAAATACCTGTCTGAATGGTTGCACGATCCTTGGGTTCGCTGTTGGTGTGGGCTGTGTAAGTAACTGAAGTGGATCAAAACAGTTGTAGTGCAGTTTGGTCATGTGTGAACAGCAGCAAGGAAACCCAGGCTCCAAATGAGTTAGTTTGGAAATATCATCCTTCAGAGTATCATCTGATGCTAACACAAGTCGTGGCTTCCAAACAGTACTCCCTAGTTTATATCCTTCCACCTGTAGCCCTTCAGCTATGACATAATTCTTGAAACAGATGTTTCCATTAGATAGTAGTTCAAAAAATGACCCTGCAGCAGAACATAGTATGGAGTTTGACCTCATAACCTTCTTCCAGAAACTATACTAATATATATATACTTTATATATAAAACTCAGACTGAATAAGGACAAAGCATTCAGCCCTGATTTCTTTTGCTTGGTCTGAACTGGGGAATGTATCTGCATTTTTTAGGAATATCTATTTTTAGGACAAATGGGAGGTTTACGGAGAATCTTTAGTGGAAGGTTTAGGGACTCTTTAGTGGCAGAAAATGGGTGGTACGTGGGAAAGAAAGATAACTGTCTTGGAGATTGTTACAGATTTTGAGACTTTTCATTTAACTGCAGCTAGCTCTTATATGAGATGGCCAACACAAAGTGTTGGCTTGTTTACAGGCTAACAACTTGTTGTCAGCAAGCTTGCCTCCTGCTTGCTTGCTTTATCCTTCACTAGATTCAGAAAAAGTACTGAGATCAGACTTTTCTTAGGAAGTCTTAAGGCTCATGATTTATTAATGTATTGTCTGCAGTCAGATGAGTCATGCAAACTCATGAGCCTATTTTTGTACCAGACCGTGTGTTAATTTTAGTCATGAATCTTCTGCTGGTTATTCTAGCTGACAGAAATCATACGTATTTTGGTTTTGCTTTATCTTTATGATATCACCCTGCAATTCAGGTGAGTTGTTATTGAATAAAACATTTCTTAGTAAAAAACTTGAATCTGTGAAAGCCTGCTCAAAGCACACTCAATTGCAGTCCATTTCAGATTGCCATAAATAGATGTACAAACTGAATTCAATAGCTAAAAGATGAACTGACAATATGAGGTCTGCAGTTATTTGCTCTGTTTCAAATCAATATTTCTTGGTGTCTCTTTTGTATTCTTGACAGGTGAGGCTGTGTAATGATAATCTTTATATCAACAGATGCTTTTGTACTACACAATTATAACTAATTTCCGTCAAGCACTTGTCTAAAATTAAGTCATAAGAATGGATTTTAGGTGTCTCATTATCTTCACTCAAACCCATTTAATAGTAGGGTCCTTCTTAAGTAGGTGGCTCATTACAGTCTTGCACATGGTGTTATTTTTAGTGCTTGCAGCTTCCACATGAAATTGCTCGTGTCTCTCTTACATTCTGACCAAGCGCTGTGTGGATTATCATCTTGTGCATCTTGTGAGACATGCATGTCTCAGTCCAGAAGAGAAGTGATAAGATTATATAAAGCTTTTTTCCCACTGTTTCTACTATTACTGAGGGTTAGCATTTCAACGCAGGGGGGAGTACACTCCAGTTAATTGGCTTCTACATAAAGTAACTAACACTGAACAGTTGATAGGTCAAAGTAATTCCGTTTCTCTGACAGCTGCTTATTTCCCTTGATCTCTCTCTCCTTCTCCCAGTTTACCTTGTATTTTATCCACAGTATTTATGAAGCTTTAAGCTTTTTACTGTCTCCGAAGCAGTCACTTAAAATGACTGTATTACATTGGGAAAAGTTAAGGAGGGGTGGTGGCTAGTAATCGATTTATTGGAGAATAGAGAAGTGAAATCCACTGAATCTTAAAACTGTGTTTAATTATGTTTCAGGAACTTCTATTACATCACGATGCTGAGGGATCCGGTGTCACGGTACTTGAGTGAATGGAAGCATGTTCAGAGGGGTGCAACATGGAAAACTTCCCTTCATATGTGCGATGGAAGAAGTCCAACACCAGACGAGCTGCCTACCTGTTATGAAGGAGACGACTGGTCTGGAGTCAGTTTACAGGAATTCATGGATTGCAGCTACAACTTGGCCAACAACCGCCAGGTGCGCATGCTGGCAGACCTCAGCCTGGTGGGATGCTACAACCTGACTTTTATGAATGAGAGTGAAAGAAATATGATTCTTCTCCAAAGCGCCAAGAACAATCTGAAAAACATGGCCTTCTTTGGGCTCACGGAATTTCAGAGGAAAACGCAGTATCTCTTTGAGAGGACATTCAACCTGAAATTTATTTCCCCATTCACTCAATTCAATGTTACGCGGGCCTCCAATGTGGACATAGGTGAGGATGTGAGGCAACGGATAGAGGAGCTGAATTTCTTGGACGTACAGCTGTATGAATATGCGAAGGACCTGTTCCTGCAGCGCTTCCAGTACTCCAAGCAAGAGGAGCATCAGAAGAACCGGCTAAAGAGGCGAGAAGAGCGGCGGCTGTTGCGGGAGCAGAGAGCTCACCAGTCACCAAGGGGAGAGGCAGCAGAAGTAGCCATTACTGAAGATTATAATAGTCAGGTTGCAAGGTGGTGATGCTCCTCCGTCTTGACTGATGAAGAGGATCACAGAATTTGTGCAACTTGGCTACCTGGGAATTAGCCAAGGAAGGCCTATGCTTTGGTAAATGAGACCACATCTGACAACTAACTACCCCTCCTTGTCTCAGTTTTTCTTGGTTTCTGCCAGTGAGGAGAATGTATTTTTTTCTCAATAGGCACTGATTAGTGTTATTCAATCACAGTAGAATAGATTCCTGTCCAAAAAGACTTCCTTCAAAGCCCTAAGCTATGAGGATGGGTTGAAGAGAGAGCTATATCCTTTGCGTTAACAGGTACTCTATACAATCTGAGCTACCAAAACTTGTGCAGACATCTATTGGAAAAAAATACCTGGTTTGGTTCCTCTGTGACATGAGAGCTGGTTTGTTTCATACTGTCCTTTGCAACTGTATAGCTTTCTAGTAAATGAAATGGAGGAAAGCACATTGAGCTTCTACATGCTGTGTTTTGATTAAGGGAAGAATTTGCTGAGGTGATTAAAAAAGACCTAGGAAATGTGGGATTGGGGCATTGCTTGTTCTGTTCTGTTAGCCAGTAGTCAGAGATGATTTATAAGTGAGGTGGTGGCAGGGTTAGCTTATTTCTCTGCAGATGCTGAGAGTACCAAAACCAGCCAGGTAGCAGCCACCCTTCTGAGCATGTGTGGCAAAGGCAAAGCCTTGAGAAATGAGGTCCATTCAACAGCTAGGCAGATATCATGGAGATTATCTGGATGAAGGCAATGAAAGCAGCCTTTGCGTGCACAAAAGGTGCAGAGGGGGCAAGCAAACTACAGGGAAGAGGAAAGAGAGAGCAGGAAAAGCTGAAATACTAGTGTGACATTTTCCAGATTTGCTTTGAAAGCCTGGAGATCTATTGTCTGTGAGGGTAGGCAGGGTTATGATAGCGTCTGTTAAAATACATTGATGCCAAGTGAATACAATTTAAGTTGGTTTTCTCTCTAACTACAGTAGTGGCTAGAAAAAAAATCAGCTTTCAGTTTTTTAAGATACATAATGGCTATGTGGAAAGTCTTGATATTTATCACTCTGTATGAAGATTCTTTGTAAATTCATTGTTTCATGATGAGAGATCTTTATCTGGCTTTGTTCCTTGTCTAGAAAAAGATTCAGTGGGTTCTTCCTCCACATGTTACATTCTTGTGGTTAAACTGCATCTCTTTATTCCAAGATTTTATGTTGTTCCATTTGCAATAGTGAAATTTTAAAAAAGAGGGTCCTGTGTACCATGGATCTTTTGAGAGAGGTTTTTTCCTTCTTCTAGCATAAATGTAAAGCATTAGGAGGAAATTTCTCTAAGTGCCTCAATGTGGCTGCTAAATCAAGATGCTGAAAGTATATTATTGCGTGCATGAATGGCTTTTACCTTACAGATTTGCTAATTAGAAATACTGGAGTACCTGATGTGGATGCACATTTCTCATTTATTTTCAAAATTCAAGGTTTTTATCCAGTGGGTAAAAAAAAAAATAATGAGTTACAGAAGAAAAGAGGCTGAATTTCAGTATTTGTCTTTTCATTTTTTTTTTTAGTGCATGCTGTATCTTCTCTTCTTCTGACAATGCTGTTGCTACTTACCTATACACAATATCAGAGATAAGCTCTAACCCATCTTGTTGAAAGTTAATGCATACAATAATACATTAAACATTGAATATTGTAACAGCTGTTAAGAAGTGAAGAGGGCTGTAGAGATGATGCCTCATTATCAATGTAGTTTATTAGCAATATGCTGATTTATGCCTGATTGTCAGTGTGATACTTTTGGGGTGAGTAGTGATGGGTTATGATCCCTAATACCTGTTCCACTGGTGGATTATGTGCATCTCTTCCCACCTCTGCATTCAGAAAGGAAAACACAGGACTGCAGATCATTACTCTCCTGCTTGGGATATCTGCCTTAGAGAAGAGTGAGGAGCTCTCTAGACTCCCCAGATGGTGCTGCTTGAATCTCCGTAGCCTGGAAGAGGCGCTCAGATACCTCACTCACATATGGACACCAACCTTCAGAGGTTTAAATTGAAATGTTTACAATCTAGGTATGAAGCTCACCCTGGCTGCAGGACAGGAAGGCCATGAAGAGCTAAGCTTGACTGATACTATTGCACCTTTATCGCAATGCAGGTAATACACAGTGATCTGATATCTTATCTGCTGATACCAGGGCTGCAGGTTGCGCTGGCCCTGTGGAAGCAAGGAGCTTTCTGGCTGGTGACACAGCAATGACAGGAGCTGTTGCATCTCACTATTTTTGAGCCCGCTGCTGCATCTTGCTGTAGACCCTGCAGCAAGAGAGAGGAAGCCTGCCTTGGCACCTGATACTGTGTGTCCAGGATTTGCAGATGCGCTCCATGCTTCCATGAGGAGGAATAGTGTGCTGCGGGGACCCTGAAGGGCCAGAGGAAGAGCTGTGCAGGAGAATAGCCAGCCACATGAGAGAAAAGATGCAAGGCCAAGTTCACATTAAGGAGGAAGATATGTGAGAAAGTAGAATCAGTCCCAGCCCATCTTTTGTGGTAAAGCATATTTTCTTCCCTCCCCCCCATCACAAAAAAAAGGGTCCCCTTTCTCTCATCCCTGCCTCTTTCCCCAGTGGGCCACCTCTCCATGCTGCTCACAGCAACAGGGGACTCCTTCTTCATTTAGAAAATGCAGTGTTATCTTTTCAGGGGAGAGGAGACAGAGCTCAACAATGGTTCCCTGGAGCCTCACCAGTGACTCTTAAGTATCAGTTTCAGCTATTTAAGCACACCAACCATTCTCCAGACTGCTCCTTCTGCCTGACACAAAACAAAGCCTAATGAAGAAAATCAAAACAATCTTTGGGTGGTTTACATTAGCTTTAATAGTTCGTCAATACCTTACTGCAATGCCTGACCTTTTCATCAGTCATTTCCCAAGAGACAAGATTAGGGTCCTGAAGAGCTCTTAATGTGCTGTAGCATCTATGGTAATGGGATTTGCCTTAACGCTTGGGATTTTGTTAAAATTGGTTTGTTTGGGGTTTTTCTCCCTGCAGCCTGTGTAGCAGATAGATAGCCCTGGATGTACAGGAGTAGTTGTCGTGGTGGGAGATCTTGCCCAGAGGCTCTGGGACTGAAGGACCTGGCACCTCCTTCCCCAGCTCCAGCAGTAGATCCAGCAAACTCACTGTGCCAACAATACTGTTTTTCTTAGCAGAATTTCCTGGCACGTAACAAATAAAGCAACTTGGAAATACTTCCAGGCAGGCTTCTAAGACACAGGCTTGCAGCTTTTTTCCTATTGGGCACTATGCCTGAAATAAAGTAATGCAATAGTAAAATAAAGTCCCTGTTAATATCTCTGTTATTCCAGGTTTTTGTTGCTCTGACAGCACAGGCTTCACTGTAATTACACTGGCTCCTATAAGATCAGAGCACAGTGTGTTTCTTTCAAAATCTTCACGAGCAACAGAACTATAGGATTTCTGTCCATCTTCCTGGCATTATTTTGTTGCTTAAACAAGGCAATTTGGCTTCTGCTACTGTGGTGCTGAAACAAATCTCATTCTTTGTAATGGAGATGTACTTGCTAATCTCTCCTATCACATCTTCAGCACCGGCTGCCTTTTCCAGTTATAATTCAGTGTAGGCTTGGAGCAGACAGAGAAACATGCTGTGTCATTAAAACTTGTTCCTGGTAATTTGATGCCTAGTCCAAGAACTCAGCCTAGTGCCTATGGCCATACTTCATTAAGGAATGAAAATTTGTCCTTTCTTCCCTACTCAGCAATGCTAACAATAAAAAACTTTTTCACTATGGGGAAAGAAAAACACCATTTCTGATGGTAGGTATTCTTCACTGCGGTTGTGTTAATCGTGAGGCTGCGTTAGCCTTGCCATGGATTCTACCCAACGTGATAGTTCTTTGCAGTTCACTAAAAGAAGTACAGAACAAACAAGCGATGGAAGTCACATCCACAGTCAAACTTCCTAACTGCAGCATATCAATTCAGCCAAACCAAATGGTAGGTCACATCACCTTTGCATCTGGAGATGTTTCAGATTTGACTGGCTTTCAAGCTGGCTTTCTATTTAACACATGCTTCTTTCTGCAGTAGTGAATTCTTGTTTCCTATCTGCAGCCTTGTATCAGTTATGGGCACTGATGTTATAAAACTTCACACTGACACTTTTTTTCTTCCATTGCTGTTCCCCTGGAATTATACTTTTTTGGTCTAGGATAAAGAACATCTTTCCAGGCTGGTGAAGACTACCCTGTACGAGATGAGCAATCACAATAAAATCATTCTACTGAAGCAAATTGCTGTATTCTTCCTGCATGTGGCAAAAGCATACTCAGAAAAGGTAGCCAGTTTGCACTGAATCACTTCTCTCAGTTTGGTTCTTGTAGTACTTTCTTTGTTGAAATTTTGTGGAGGGAAATGGGTTCCATAGCCTGCAATGTCCTTGACTTTCTTCTTGGCCGTATCACTAGCTTGTTGGAAGTGAAAAAAAAAAATCAAGATTCCCATGAGTTGCCATATTTAAGATGAAAGGGTAAATTAATAGGCTGTAAATTCCTTTATTCTTTAGGATTTTTCCTTCTGTTTATGTGCAATAATGTGTGTGAACTCTGCTATTAAGAGATTGTATCGTGAGTAACCATATCTACTTTTATTCCTATTTACAAGATAGACCTAGGGATTTTCATTGATGTAAAGCACAATTTAATGAATTATTTACTGTGTTTAACCATTGTGATGTCAAAATCAATTGTTTTCATATATTTATTTGTTGGTGGTTTTCTGTAAAATGATGCTCATTAAGAAATCTGTTAAAAATGAGGAAGTTTTGTTGAATATTGTTGGGTCCATGAATTACTTAGGAGCAACAAATAAATATTGTTTGCGTTTTTGAAACACTAAAGGTTCCATCTTGTCTACATAGCCATAAGAATGATTAAAAATGCCTCTGTTGGACCAGTTTCAAGCATTAGCAAAGATCCACTGTAACCATAATTATGTTTTTTTAACAATATATACATGGAGTAAAAGCATGTTGATATAAGTTACAATTTAATTTTGTTTGGGCCCAGTACCAAATCTTTGGATTTCAATTAACTTTGCTGGGCATTATCTCAGATTGAATTAGGACAGGAGAGTTGAGACTTGAATAGTCACCAGTAGTAATTCAAGTGACCCGGTGTCAGAATTTCCATACTTGGATTAAGACTTAAATATGCAAATAGCAGTAGTGAATTCATTGGACTTCATTCCTACTCCAGCAGCACTGAGGCCAGTCCAAATTGGCAGGATAATCTCATGAGCTGCTGTGAGGAAGGATGAGAGGTTGCAGTCTGTTGCTGCACTGTAAGCCTCTTATGCATGCCCTTGTATCTTTTGAGAGTGCCTGGGCCTTGAGAGGATCTGATTGCTTATTCAGACATACTATTCCATGTAAGTGTGTGAATACAGTGAATTAGGGCAGGGATGGGAGCATGGAGGAGCATGGACAGACATGAGTAAGGAGGAAACACTGACCTATCTTCTACTGAGTGACTCAGACCCCCTGTTAGTTCTGCCTCTTCCAAGAGTAATCCAGGCCCCTGTTCCATGACTTTTTTTCACATTTCTCAATTATCCCAACAAGAAGCCTTGCAGACATGGTACATCCCTGGAGCTGAGTCTGATTAAGAGAGAAGTTCATGATGTTACAAACTAGCATGCAGTGATCATGACCAATCCGTTTTTGCTCAAAGTCAACTGATCTCTTCCAAGTACCATAGAAAGCTATATTAAAGGTGAAAAAATACATAGTCTGCATGACAGATTACCCTTGAGACACAACAAAGACAGCATTTAATGGGCGTAGTAGAAGAAAGGAAGCTCTCAGAGGTTCTGGTTGGTTTTGTTTTCTTAATTATTCTTCACCGCACCTTAGACTCAAACAGCTACTGGTTAGAAACACCACTGTAAGCAGGGGCTGTTTGAGCCTATAGTAACCAGTACCTTTCTAGAATTCATTTTCATTTCATTGTCCCATTTGATTATTTCTCTAGTTCCATTCACTTTAACTGAATTCATCTGTACTGCTGGTTTGCACTTGAAGTCTGCATATAAATGAAGACTGTAGGGTAGATCTGTATGTTAGGAAGTGTTTTGACTGTCTACAGCTTAGTGATGAAGTTAGATAGGATTGAGTGTTTATAGGTAGGAATCAGGGGAAAGGTCAACAAGGCAGATATGGTGGCAGTCTGTTACAGACCATGCAATCAGGATTAAGGGGCAGATCAAATACTCTATAAGCATGTCAGAGAAGTCTCACAATCACTAGCTCTTGTTCTCATGGGGGACTTCAACTTACCAGGTATCTGCTGGAAATACAACTTCTGCAGAGGGGGAGCAGTCTAGGAGGTTCAAGGAGTGTGGGGAAGATGACTTCCTGACAGCTGGTGAAGGAGCCAGCCAGGGAAGGTGCCCACCGGGCCTGTTGTTTGTGAACAAAGGAGGATTTGTGGGTGATGTGGCAGCTAGAGGCTACCTTGGGCATAGTG